TGGGTTTGTCACTTTTAAATACGTGATTTCATTTTTAGTTAGTAAATGATTGCTCGTTGAGATCGCTTTATTTATTTCTTTTGAATTATCTAGAGTTGGATCTTTATTTAAGAGTACGATGTTATTTTTAGTAAAAAATTGTGACACTTTGTTGACATAATCATCTTTGTACAATATAACTATTGAGCTGCCCTTATCTGCTTTCGTTATCAGCGCGTTGTGTTCTGCAAGTTTACTCCTGACACTTTTCAATGCATGTCTCAAAGAGCTAAATTTCCCGTTGTTTCTGTTAATTCCTGAAAAGTTTTTCCACACTTTCTTTGCTTTATTCCCTATCAAAACTCTGACATTTTCACGTATTTCATCCGTTTTTATACTTTTTACTGACGCCTCTGTGTTTAAAAGCTCTGTAAAAATACTTGATTTTTTGTTGCTGGGGAAATTAAAATTTAAACCTCTGTTCAGAAGATTAATTTCTTCATCAGTAAATTCAATCTTTGTGTTGTTAACAACTCGTTTGTAGAAAACATGGTTGCACTTTACAATATCTTGTTTATGTTGTTTCTCCATTAGGTTATTTATTTTCTGACTTTGAATGATTTTTTTCTTTAAGATTTTTCTACTCACCTGTTGCTCAATTTCTAGCATAACGTTATCTAATTGTGTAGCATGTAAGTTATTTAAAAGTTCCAAATGTTTTTTGAACATTAATTTATTCAATCTACTTTTTTTAGAATATAATCCCTTTATTTCGTTTTTAATCCATTGACATTCTGCTGTTTTTTTAGCTTTCAAGGCTGATCTTGTTTTTGTATTTACTTTGACTCTAACGTAGTTAGGGATGAGGTTGTTGTTCAAACATGTTTTGTTAAATTTAATGTTCTCTGTGGTTTTATAAAGTTTTATTTTGACATCCTTGTATTGATAGGCTAATTTTGTTTGCTCAACTTCCAACTTCATGTGTTTGTGATAAAGTTACGGTTATCGTATAATTTTCATATAAGATTTAAATTATCTCCCGGAATTTATATTTTGTTGAATGGATTTAGTCAATAGATTCAGGTATTTTACTGATAACAATACTTTATCCAAGCGATAAGAAAACAAAGCGAACCAGTAGTCATATTTTAAAACGATCTATCAGTCACATGTGGACAGTGATCGAAAAAACATGGTAGGGCAAAGAAAATCTATTGTGAAGAATAATACATTTAAGTGCAGGCAACAAATAATTTGTATTTCTTTCTCGCATGCAACGCTTTGTTTATAACTACCCAGCTAAGAAAAGAAACATAGTAGTAAAATGTGTTTGTGATAAAGTTACGGTTATCGTATAATTTTCATATAAGATTTAAATTATCTCCCGGAATTTATATTTTGTTGAATGGATTTAGTCAATAGATTCAGGTATTTTACTGATAACAATACTTTATCCAAGCGATAAGAAAACAAAGCGAACCAGTAGTCATATTTTAAAACGATCTATCAGTCACATGTGGACAGTGATCGGTCAACTATGTCTTTTTCGATTCGGGAGTATGTTGAAATGCATTTTATTTATGGTTTGTGTAACGGCAATGCGTCGGCTGCTCAGAGAGAGTACCAGAATCGGTATCCTGATCGCACCACCCCCAGTACTCAGGTGTTTACTAGAGTGCATCAACGTTTGCTGGAAACAGGATCGGTTGGGAAGAAGAAGAAAGAAGTAGGACCTGTGCATGATGTTGCAGCTGAAGAGGGTGCAATTCAGAGAGTTATGGATAATCCTACTACTAGTGTTAGGCAGCTTGCCCTTGAAACTAGTATGTCCCGGTGGAAAGTACATAAAGTGTTGAAGGACAATAACTTCCATCCGTATCATTTTACAAAGGTCCAAGGATTGGAGCCTCGTGACTTCGAATCCAGAAAGGAGTTCTGCCGCTGGCTTCTTCAACGTGATATTGTTGAATATCACTTCCTTAAAAAAATACTATGGACTGACGAATCCCGTTTTACCAGAGAAGGTGTGATAAATATTCACAATATGCATCTTTGGAATAATGAAAATCCAAAAGCCTCCAGAGAAGCTTCTTTTCAAAAAAGGTTTGGGATAAACGTGTGGGCAGGTGTGATTGGAGATCGGTTAATTGGTCCTCATATCTTCGAAGGAAATCTGAACGGTGATTTATATCTAGATTTTCTTCAGCACTCTCTACCTCAGTTGTTGGATGAAATTGATCCTCAACAAAGAGCTGAAATCATATTTCAGCAGGATGGTGCTCCACCACATTTTACTGAAAGCGTTCGGTTGTGGCTATCCCAAAACTACCCGACATGGATTGGACGTGGAGGAAGTGTGACATGGCCTCCTCGATCTCCAGACTTGAGCCCGTTAGATTTTTTTGTTTGGGGTTACATGAAAAGTCTAGTTTACTCAACTGTTGTAAACTCTGAAGTTGAGTTACGGGAGAGAATCTTTGAGGCTGCTGGGAAAGTAAGGGAAAAATTGACGTATGAGGTCACAGTTGGCGCAATCCGCAAAAGAGCTAGGGCCTGCTTGCGGGAAAACGGTGGGCACTTTACACCCAAACTGTGATTTGTGCTTCGGACAAAGTGTGTCATTGATTTGTTTAATGGGTTAACTATCATTTCATATTTAAATTGTAGTGTGTATTATGTTTTTTACTAATGTGTTGTGTTTTTTAATTACAAATTTTCCAAAGTCTTCAAAAAAACTCTTTAGTTTGATGGAAGTGTAGTCTGGTCAATCATAAATTATACATACCCTCATCATCAGTGGTCAGCTCATAAAATAGTAAGTAAAATTTTATTAGTTTTTACAATATCTGTTTTGGCTTGACCGTGATTTTTCACAATAGTGCGTAAAATTCACCATGGATTTGACAGTAGGTAAATGTTGTTATACATCATTGTAAAGCCCTTTAAATGAGGAAGTTTTTAGTCATATTTGATAACCTCTCCGGAACTCAACAACCGAGAAATAAACTGCTGAATGTTATTTACATTTTCGTCGATATAAAAATAATTTGTTTAACAAAGAATTTTAAATAGAATATTTTTACGTACCCCAACGATTATGTGTTATATTTATTTAAAATTTTGTGAGGATTCTGAAAATGTCATTGAAGTTGACGGTAAGTGCATTTTTAACAGAGTAAAATAACCTTTTTCATAACAACTACAATAATTTTTGAAAAATCTTAATTTATTTGTTATTCTCTAACTGTTGAAGTTGGGAACCTCAAATTTGCGACATTCTGTCACCATTACCATGTAGTTTAATGCAAAATTGTATTTAACACTTATCACCGGACACCCTGTATATATATATATATATAAATAAAGATTAAACATTAATAAACTTAGTACCCAAGTAAAATTATTTATTAAAATATTTACTGACTTGGTTGAAATGAAATATTTACTATTTGAATTTGGGTTGGTGTAAATATTACAATGGAAAAAAGCGAGAAAGCTTGGACAGTTTGATATATACAAACTGATATATACTCTGTAATGATTGCCTTCAAATTTTCGGTTACAAATGATCTCCAGTTAGTCATCGATAATAGCTCTAAATCGTAGCTATTATACATCAATGGTTACAGTTGGACTGTTTGAGTGTGTGGGCGATTCTAGTATCTCGCTCTCAAAGTATTGACATTTTACGGTTATACCGTAATTAAAACATTTAATCACCCGTAATTCATCCAAATGATATGAAAGAGGAATGGTATATTTCAGTACAAGAAAGATTAATTGGAGTAGTTTTTTTATTGTTTTTTGTGTCTCAATATTTGTATTTGTATTGCTGAAAGAATTTGTCTGAGTACATTCTATGGAAACATTACTTGAAACTGCCCAGTTACTAAACAACTCGAGAATGTTGGGTGTGACTACCAACGCCTCTTTGCACGACGTTTCTTCTTAACAGCCTGCAACAATATATCATACCAGCTACACATCCGACTTGTACAGTATCGTTTCCATATTGGAACGGTCCAAATGTCAGTCACATTGGGCGTTCTATACGCTCGTGTAGTCAATGTTCTCGCGTTCAATACGCTGCTGATTGTCGGCTTCATGTAGTCCTAGACATTTTTGCGCGTACTGTCGGTGGCGTTTCATACGCTCGTGTAGTCCGGCCCTTATGGGAGAAAACCCAAGCTGATCTTGTTTTTTGGTGTTTTCTACAAATGTGTCCCACTCATAGAAGCATTAGGTTATCCATAATATGTCATTGTGACCACTTTTGCCTATATTTTATCATATTATTTAAGACAGATCATCATAGGTTCATGAGATTAATTTCATACATGTTTTCAATTATTCAATACAAAATAATACAAGTGCAGAAGGGCACGTTGCCCATATGAGCTGTGTCCATATTTTGTTAAATTAATAGTGGTTTACAGCAACTGGATAAAATTTTTAATAATTTTTTTTATGTAAAGTCATAAATCTCCAAAATTGCAATTTAATGCAAACTTTTCAGAGAGGTTACTTTGATGTATTCATTCAGCTTAGTGAAAACATAATATAGAGCCCTTGAATGTTATTAAACCAACGAAAAGGGTTGTGCATGTTTACTAGCGCTACTCAGCAACAAAAACCATTAAATTTATCCCCAAAAAAGGTCTCAAAGTGCATTGAACAGCAGCCTAAAAATATTTCGAGCAACAGTTACTCTAGTACTTGCTTATTTATGGACAAACATTGAAGCAGGTGCTGTGTTCAGTATTCTTTTGCAACTATTGGCTGCTATGCATATGGTTTTTGCAATCTTGCTTTTCTAGAGTTGATATTTTATCACAAGTAATTTTCATTCATTATTTTAAACAAATATTTTCTGATTATATATCATTATGGTAGGAACAGGAAGAAAGTTTTATATGTATTGTTGGTTCAATTGTATTACCTTTGCAGTTGGTACAGATAAATATAATTTGGGTTGACTGTTAGCTACAGGATGAGAGTTTGATTGAAGGATTGTTTTATAGACTGCCGATGATAGTGTATCCATCCCTCAACTCGAGCTCGTCCGTGATTCGGTCTGAGTCTGCTCGGCTACTGGGAGCTGCCGTCCAGAACAACGCTGTTTGTCAAATTAAGGTAGAGTACAGCTGTAATAGAATAAAACTTGAGTAATGAGTTCTTGTTCTTAGGCCTACCCAGTAATAATGAGCTTGTCATGATATCTACAGTATATATAAAGCCAAAAGTACCCGCATGAACTTTTGAGAAAACTACAAGTCACACCCCCATAAACCGTATACTTAAAATGTTCGTCATGACGAGAAACCTTGCGTAAAACTATCCATTATTTCTTAAATTGCCCTATAAGGTCGTAATTGCTTTCCAAAGGGAACTTTCCATATACCTAATGTTAAAAATACCTCAGCTGTATTCATTTGTATGTTATTCTTTCAATTTATTACCTTATTAAAATCAAAATCAGGTGAGATTATTTTTGTTTGTATTACTATACTCTGTTTTGTTTATTTCAGCTTAACCTAACCAATCAATATTTTTATTAACCCTCCGAGTGTTATGTGTCGTAAAAGCGACTCATAACACATCCGCTGTAGTGTCATGTGTCGCTTTTGCGACTCACAAACACTGTTTACGGCGACGGCTCTGCGACTGACTGAATCAGATTGAACTGGATCGAGTTAGGTATCGTTTTTTTCAGCAGATTCAGAGCTTTCTCCTGATGTCTGTTTCTATACGCTTTTTATTTTAGTTCTGAAAATATTGTAGCAGACAGCTGACGTGTGTATTTGTAAACAGCTTGGTTAACCTCGCACCGATGACTGATGTGTTTTATTAAGTTTATCATTGTTTTAGTGTTAAAAATCAAAAGTAGTGATATACGTGGTGCATTATAAGAAGATTTAAGTGATTTTGAAGGGCTGGTTGATGATCCTGAAGAAGTAGGTAGTGATATTGATGTAAATTATCAGCCAGATTCCTAGCTATGGTTAGGCTATTCATTCTTAGCTAAACGCTATGTACAGAAATCTGTTTTTTGCCCATAACTTATTTATTTGCAAACCTACTTCCTTAAATTATTACATTTTTGGAATCCTCATAAAATTTTGAACAAAGTGGCTATTTAAAAATATTTGTTGAACTATAAATTATAACAATTTATTGAGAGCAAACATAATTTTTTTTCATTTATTTAATAATTGTTGAGAATTGTTAACCCCACAAAAATTGTTGAACATTTTTTTTGTAATGTTTTATATGTTACATTGAAGCCCATAATTTTCTAAACAAAATTATATATAAAACAGTATACTTTACATTGTTTTTAAGTTTCTAAGAAACATTTTAATAAAACCCTGCGATTGCGCATTAAATGGGCGAACATTAAGACCAAAACTAGAGACACTTGGAGGGTTAATACTTATGAAGTCAAACGGGGTGAAGCCCGTGGGTAGATAAAATAGATAAAATAGATGGGTAAAAATAGTTTTAAATTTTTTGTTTGAGTGGACTGTATTTGCTTTGATTACATAAAATAAATATCACTTAATTTCCATAGTAACACTTTCTTCTTTGATGATTTAATTTACTAGCATGCATCTTCATTCAGTTCATTCTGGCTTCCTTCTAATCATGAGACCTTCTATGGAGGACCAAACCCCCTCACCACCGCGCTGTGCCGGGACAGCGGAATTAAAATCAGAATGGAACATCCAAACTGTTCGAACGACACGAATTGAAGACATCGATGTTCGTGGTGTAGTGGATAGCGTACTTGACTGATATTCATGAGGTATCGAGATCGAATCCCTCCGGTCACACTAACTTTTTATTAGTAAACCTCCATTTTATTTTTATCTTATATCTTTTTAGCGAATTTCCCATATAGGGAATAAGCTATTACCGTAGTACTCATGGTAAGACCTGGACCCGGGACTGATTTTTTTTTTCGTTTTGAGGTCCCTAGAGGCTAAAAACACCATTCGTTCAAATTCATATATATATATATATATATTAATAAATAATATGTAAAATAACATGAGTACCCTTTTTTTATATTCTTTTTTATTTAATAAATCACAACATGTTTCGTCTCTAAGGACATTTTCAAGTGTGTTAACCTAATTTCAAACAAAAATATTATATATATATATTTATATATTTATACCTATATTTATATATTTATACCTATATTTATATATTTATATATCTATATATATATATATATATATATACGTGTCCGTTAGCACGATAACTCGAGCAAAAATGATCCGATTTTGATGAAATTTGGTATAAACGTGTAAGTAAACCTACGTTTATTCGAATGAGTTCGCGAACCAGCATAATCGGACCATGGGAACGGGGGTTTATGGGGGGTTTTATGGGGTAAAAATGGGGTTTTCCCATTTTTTTCCCTGAAAACAAAAAAATTTGCAATTACTTTTTAAACCATTTTGTAGAACTTAAAAAAATAAGTAATTTAGTTTATTGAAGCGCTGTTGTATGCCTAACAGTCACGGAGACAATTCAAAAATAGTGTAATTTTAAATTCCCATGTTATTATTATGGAGAAAATGAAAACTGTTGTAGTTTACTTGTTTATGGATATATGTTGATAAAATTTGGCAAATTTATTTATTTTATCCTATACTATTGACGTATGGCCAAAAAACACTTTTTACCTTCCCCTTAGCAGCAAACCTAAGCACTCGTTAAATCTAATGTTATTTAAATTGGGAATAGCCTAAATATGTCTTATTCATGGAAATATTTTAGTAATAATGTAATCAGACAAGTTGAAATTCGCTTAGTCTGCAGGTTTGCTGCGGCGGGGGTATTTATATTATCAGCAAGTTTGGTTGTTTAGGTTGTTATGACAGTTTCATTTCATAATTAAAAATTATAAAATTAGTTTAATAATAAAAAAAATGAATTTTATAATAAAAACAATGTATTTTATAATTTAAAAATTAATTTTATAATTTTTCTTAAGTTTTCGTGAGGGGCTCTCCCACAATCCCCCACTCCTTCGCAAAACAGGTTCTCAATGCTTTCTAAACAGGACGCACATTCTGAGTCATGGCGCGGTGGTGGGGGGTTTGTCCTGCAGAGAAAGTCTCGTTTCTAATCTTCATCACAGTCACATGTTTTGTTTTTAAATAATTTTTAATTGTTGTACATTTATTTGGAGTTAGTTAATAAACTGCTTGCATTAACAGTGTTGCCAATCTTAATAATCAGCGAGCTGCGTAGGGGTTAGAGCGAGGGACTTCAGTCCCTGAGGTCCCAGGTTCCATCCCCGCCAAGTCACCAATGGATTTTATCTAAGTGATAATGCCACAACCCCTAGGTCTAGTCTGAAGTAATGTGAAAATAATCCCAGGCTCGTGCCTAGCGTCCTAGGACAACAAAAAAATTCTCAATAAAGAAATATTATTTAAGATATAATGTGATATAATATAATTTGATGTAATAACATATGATAATTTTTAATATTGAAATGAATTGTAATTTAAACTTTAACAAAAGTTCCCCGAAAGGTCCCCGTTGCTCAAAATCGAGCAGTTGCTAAGTATTACAGATGTTATTTCAAAAGGAATAGAAGTCATAATTTCTAATGACTTTAAAAGATTCGACTCAAAGATTATGGAAATACTCAAGATGTACATAACAGATCGATATAATCAACATTTCTTGTAAATATCTTATCATTTTTCAAAAACTTAACTTATCTTGTTTTTTATTGTTTTCTGCAAATGGCCTTACTCATAGCCGCATTAGGTTATCTATAATAACAATTATAAATTCTAAAAAAACATTATTTCTATTTCTTCTCCTTGGTTGTGTTCTATGACTTTCCTATGTTTCCATAGTTTGCAAATCGGCTCTTTCAATGATTACTAAGAAATGCAGCACAGTGTTAATTCAGTTTTCTTTTTAGTATATCAATTTATCCAGGCTCTCTCACTTGTTTTCATTGAAATTTTTATGCCAACCCAAATTCAAATAGTAAATATTTCATTTCAACCAAGTCAGTAAATGTATGTAGCAAACTGTTAAATTAGCAAACTTATTGACTGTTTACAAAATTAACATATTTTCTTCTTCTCACTTTTAATTTCCGACAACAGCTGGAGTTTCATAAAAAACTTTTTGTTTCCTATGTTAATCTTATGGAGAAATACAAAACTTTAAAGGGCCCCAGGGCCTCACTCTCTAATTATTTCCCTAAAAAGAAAGTTTCCTGCACAACTTCACGTTACGCTCTAATAATAAACTAAATTAAATAAGTATAGAAAATAATAAACTGTTAACATAAACATTGGTTAATGAATTTTTATTGACTTGTTTGGAATAATTGAAATATGATTGAAATAAAGAAAACTAATAAATATTTAACATCTCGGCCCCCTTGAACTCTTTAGTTCTACAATATATGGTAACAAATTAAACTCAAAAACAGAACTAAAAGCAATGCAACTTTGAGAACAAAAAATCTATAAATAACTGTTAAGTAAAACTAAAAGAATGAAAAACATAAAGGGTTTTGAAGCTTACCTTAATCTACAGGAAGAGGGGAAAGCTTCACTATAGGGCGAGTGATTAGTCCTGATCTTTTGTACACTTCAGCCACTCTGACTAATAAGGAGTTGTCATCAACATATGATTTCTTAACACACATGGTTTATGTTATTGTTTCTAATGTTTGTGTTTTTATATTTTTCATTCAGTTAAAATAGTTGAATAAAATGGGTTGTACATTCTCTTGTATCTTGTTATTATATAACTAGCTGTGTGCCCGTTCTACGCACGGGGATCTTATTGTAGTCAGTTATTGAAACCTTTTTATTAAGAACAGAATTTGGTTTGCATATTTTCAGATATGCTGGCAAAACTATTATACAGTATATAAACCTTCGCAAATACAGTAACTGACAGTTTCAAGCCAAAACAAATGCTTCGAAATTAAATGTAACCTGGGTCGTGTTGGTCCATATGTTAAATCCAATGATTAAACTAAAAAATGCTTTATAGATCTATGAGGCATAGCCCTAATGTAGGCCTATAATTGAAAGTTACCTTCCACAATGGTTAAAAGTATTTAAGGTACTACTTCAACC